CTATTGTATATTATTCCAAATTTAAACTAAAATATCGAAATACAATAGATAATTAAATAAAATTCAAAATCAATTTTAGTTAAAAAAGGATATTTGCACATATATTTTTTGAAATATACAATACAATACTATACTTTTATGATGACAATAATAAAAAGTATAATTTTAATATATTAATTTTAATAATCCTGTTATTAATCCGTAACTGTTCGAAGTAAATTCAAATAAATTACCGATGTTTTTACTACCTAAAAATTGTTAAATGTAAAATTTTAGTTTTATGCTTCAGAAAATATTGAAATTGTTAAAAAAAAATAAAAACTTACAGAGCTAAATGTGTTGAAAGATAAATCAATTATTTTTCCAGCTGTAAGTTTTGGAGGATATTGCGATATGGAAATCAGTAGAATAAGATCATGAGCTTTTTTAGCAGGTAATTTGTACCAATTAATTTCATAAGAAATTGTACCAATTTGGCTACACTAATAAGAATCATTAAAAATACTTTTTATCACATAAAATACGTAAGCAAAATACTTTTGTAATTACCTGTTCAGAAAGAATTTCGCCTATATAGCAAAATATAAATATGTTAAATGTAAAAGAAATCAACAAAGTAAAATAGGTTAATATTGCAATTGCATCGTTATTTTGCCATTCCTAAAAGATATACTTAAATAATATTTTTTTTCTAATTAAATAAGTAATAGTTCTTAAGTATATATTGAGTTTATTGCTTACTGTCATACAATAATATTCAAGCAAACACATAATTATTGTAGATTCAATAATTTCTGCCAAACATATCTCACGTAAAGCTTCTTCTACATTTTTCGAAAATCTAAAATTTCCACGTATTGGCTTTTATAACGATCTATATTGTAAAGCATATAAAATTCTTATCACATTTGTCTATGAGCAACTTTTATTTAATATTTCTTACCTTAAAATTTCTACATGATCATGAACAATAAGAGCAAAAGGATCACAGTCATTCTTTCTGTTCTTGTTTTCTACTAAATTCTGTAATCTTGTTGTTTGTATTTGAATTTGTCCACAGATATGAGTGACAAAAATCGCCGCTAAACTATATGCAACCGTTGTGACGCTATACATGATCATGGCGGCGAAACAATGCATGCAGAATACGATTTCGTATGTAGGACTAGATTGAGTATCGAAAAATGGATCATAGCCTAAATAAGTCAATGGTTTAAATGTGTAATTATTATTAACTTTCTCTTTTGACAAAAATTGCATTACAGTATGATATGACATTCCACCAGTATATAAAAAAACGGCACACATAATTATGAGTTTTCTGCTGATAGTAGCATATTTTAACATGATTATTCGATAATTTGGATCTTGTACCATTTTCCAATCTTTTTCAACATGTTTGATACATTGTTCAAAAAATACACCTTTCACACCAAGATAGCAATATTTAATTGTGGATGATAAACAGAATCCAACTGGACCGAGCAATTTTACTTTGAGGTGCATATCTTTTTCTACGAAGAAAATATGATGACCGGATGGTAGGATGATGAATAACAAACTGGAGAAGCACGTAGCCATTAGAACAATGGAAATAAGCTGCTCAAGTCTGCTAGTTCGATCGTAAACGAAAGGCCACACTCCGATAGGTTTTAATAACCATTGACACATCTGTAAAGTGTAATGTATGTCGTTCTCGTAATGAATATTTTTTAACTGACTATTATTGTATGATCGATTAAGCATAGTGACACTTCCAGTGCTCACTGTCGACTGGTCGACAACGTAGAAACTTTCAACACGATATTGTTAGAACGCAAGCGCGTATTGTTTCTATGAATGTATAGTATGAACTTCAGCACGTGCATGCTTAATGTAAGAGGACAATATTCGATTACTAATGAGTGTTTATCTTTTTATTTGCAGGTTCTATATTGTTGAAGGGAAGATGGATTTAGAATAAAGGCGTAATGCGGAGAAATAAATTCATGCAGCGATATAAGATCAAAACTATTTTTTTTCTAATTTATATAATAAGATATAAAAAAACAAAAAAAAATTATTTATTTAAATTTATTTAAATAATATTTAAGAGATTTCTTTATTTAATCTTCCAATATTTAAACTCTGCTTAAAATCGGTATTTATGTTAATAGATTTATATTTTATAATATTAAAATAATTATAATTGTTTCAACAATTTTCAGATCAAGTCCAGAATATTGAATTATATCAAGATACAATATTTCATTTTTAACATTTTGGAAATAATGATCACAGTTCAGTGATCGTTCGCAACATGTTCAAATAAACTAATGATGATTTTAAAACCTACGAATAAAAGATGTTATTATTCGTTCAAGATTTTATATATAAATAGATTCACAGATTAAATTCTGGATCACTTACAACGCTAAAAGTATTCATCGATAGAATAAATATTTTGCCAGCAGTAAGTTTGGGCGGGTATTTCGATATAACGAGCAATAAAATAATATCACGAGCTTTTCTTCCAGGTAAGTTGTACCATTCTATTTCATACAAAGCAGTCGCGATTTCATTACCCTGCTATCACATTCATGTCTATTATGCCAATGACTAAATAATCCTCTCTATGTTAAAAAATCGAATGAATGATAAGATGAACAAACTTGTGAATGAATCGAATCTCGAAAATTTATTTTTTAAAAGTACCTGCTCAAGAAGAAGTTCTCCTACGTAACAAAATATTAATATGTTGAAAGTAAAAGAAAATAAGAGAACGACGTATGTTAATATTGCAGCTGAATCGCTGGTCTCCCATTCCTAAAATATATCGATTTGTAATTATTTTTTGTATAATGATCATTTTTTTTTGTTCAAATATCAATTCATTATTCAATATTAAATAATTTGTCATTTTTACCACCATGCAGTAATATTCAAGCAAACACATTAATAAAGTTGACACTATCACTTCTACTAAAAATAATTCACGTAATGTTGTTTCAACGTTTTTTGCAAATCTGCAATTCCATAATTATTACTTTAACACATCTATATTATATTTTATATATGTATAATATAATTTATTATTTGTAATAAATAAGCAAAATAATACAATGAATATTTATGCAAATTCATATTTTTTTGTATATTTTATATTTAAATTTATATTTTTATATTTAAATTTCTCAAAAATACATGAATATCGCTAACGATGTACTTATAATCATGATATTAACCATCTTACCTTAAAATTTCCACATGATTGCTGATAATAACCGCCAGATGACTCTCGATACCTGTTTCTAACACTTTCTTTTCGTTTTTTAAATTCTCCAATCGTAACGTTTGTATCTTAATCTGTCCGCAGGCATGAGTGATGAATATTGCCGTTAAACTGTATGCGGCCATCGTGATATTACCTACGACGATAACATAAATACAGTGCATACAATATATAATTTCATATGTGGGACTCTTTTGAATGTTGAAAAATGCCTCATAACCAGGATAGGTAAGTGGTCTAATTGTAAAATTCTCAACTTTTCTCTTCGAAAGTAATGGCATAATGGTGTGATAAAATAAACCACCAGTGTACATAAAAGCTGCGCATAATGTGATTAAATTTCTGCCCATGATTACATATCGTGACATGATGACACGATGATCCTCATTTTGCAACATCTTCCAATCTTTTTCCACATGTTTTATGCAATGACCAAGCTCTGAACTCCTTATGCCAAGATAACCATATTTGAATAACGCACTTAAACAAAATGTTAACGGTCCTAAAAATTTGATCTTCATATTCATATCCTTCTCATAAAATAGAATATAATAACCGAACGGCACGATGACGAATTGTATTATGAAAAAGCAGATCAGGATTAGAACCACGGACAAAATTCTTTCGAATTTGTTCGCTTGGCTGTAGATGAAATAATGGATGCCTAATGGTTTTAAAATCCAATGGCAGAATTGAAATGTATAATGTATATCGCTTTCATAATGATCATTTAGTGAAAGATCGTCAATATCACTTGTAGATCGCATGCTGACACTTGTGGCGCATAGCACTAACTGAAGTCGTCGATGTATCAGAGAACAACTCTGAAAAAAATGATTCAAGGGACGCAAGCGCAAGACTGAATGAAACTTTTTCTTCGTAATCGATAGCATGTGATAGGAATCACATATTGCTTTGGTTAACTTATAGTCAGAACAATTGAATACTTTGGTTTTACAGTAATATGTGAATGATTCTTAATATTTCGTTTGATATATTTTTAAAGGAATGAGATAAACATGTGGAACAATAAATAAAGTGATTAGATTTATAAATAGAATTAAAAATTTTCGAATAATTTTCGTAGTTTTGTTCTTGAAAAATGAAATTTATTAAATAAATATATTTTCAATGTATGCATTGTTTATATCATTGTCATTTGACATAACATATTTAATATGCAAAAACAGTTTTTATTGGATCTAGAATCGCAAATCATTCCATGAATCTTATTGAATATTTTTTTTTTGCAGAGAATTAAGAGAACATACATTATTGAAAATATACACGAACATGATAATTATCTTTCGGTTATTTTAACTTCCATACTAGATCGTAAAATAATCATAATTAAATGAAAAATATTTTTATCGGGCAATTGATACCAGTTTGTCATGTAAACTGTTGCCGATTTTTTACACTGTCAAAAATTCGGTAAGTTTGATTATATGATTAATTAATTACATGTAAGATTATATGTAATATTATATTTTCATAACCTGTTCCAAAAATATTCCATCTATATAACATATTAAAAAAATATTAAAAGTTATAGATATAACATAATCAATATTATAATATAATTAAATTTTGAATATTATGCTCATTCATAAAAAAAAATAAATATTTTTCAATTAGATTAATAAAATAAATTACAATTAATCTTCCTTTGCTATCGCTTATTTATGAAATAAATTATATAAAATTATATAAAAAATTAAAAAATAATGTATTTTATAAAATATTAATTAAAATAAGAGAAATATTTATTAACTTGCAATTTGATAAATTATTTTGAATATAAAAAAAAATAAAAAAAGAATATATAAGAGAATATAAAAAAAAAAAAACAATTATATTCTATGAAGTGAATTTTCAATTTAAACGTTCAAATATAATAAATATTTTATATATTCATTGATTAATAAATAAAATATATGATTTCATTAATTATTATGATAATTATAATTCGATAGTTGGATATAAATTAAAAATTTGTTTTAATTATTTTATTTTAATAATTTCTAAAAATTTTTTTTTAATCGGTAGATTTAAAATCTTTATGCACGTTTTTTATATGTATCTTATAAGTTTTTTTATTCATATCTTATAAGGATATAATAGCTAGACACATTTCCAACATTTGAACATTTCCACGAAGCATATTTGATTAAATGTTTAATATGTGCTATATTCAATAAAAAAGTGCGAAAAAATATCGAAACATAATGTTACTTTAAAACTTTCAGATGATCTTCAATGATTACGATTACTAATGATTACTTTTGGAACTGGTTTTTTTATTCTTACAATCTCCTTGATTGATGAAGTTCAATAATCCATGTTATCATCATATTTAACATTCGTATGGATGGTAAAGACTGAAAGCAAGGCTGAAAGCGCGATATTCGAGTTCATGATGAATTCTAATAGAAATTGAGTACCAAGAATGACATTATGATTTGATATTAAATGAAATTTTATAGATAGAGCAAGGTAAAGTATACACAGTCATGATCATGTTGCCTAATCTCTTGATCTATTTAAAAGTCCTTAATATAATGTAAGTATAGAAAACACTATCATGCATGAAGAGTGCACAGAAGCAAGTAATGTAACGATCAACTTTTGCGTTCATCAATATCACTTGTTGATTTTTCATTCTGATGGATTTTCAATTGTCTCGTATGTGTTCTATACAATGATGAATGTAGTATCATCTTTATATAGAAGCAATGCGTAATTGAATTCTTCAAACACACCAGTGAATCAAAGGACTGAGCGATTTTAATTTTGAATAGATTTTTTTTTGAGCATGATGTGAAGTATATTTGAGATTATAATGAATAAAGTGACAAGCCAACAAGTGAAAATTAAAATTTTCGAAACGATTCTTTTCGAAAATTTTTCATTCTTAATAGAAGGTGAAAGAAGTTATGTGCCTATTGGCTTCAAGAACAATCGATTTAGTTGTGTGCTGTATTCATTTAGACTATCGAATTTTTTTTTCATCATTGTCCGACATGGTGATATATATACTTGGTTGCATGTGTATTTTTGTTGACAGTAATCGTATAATTCGCATAACGTGCACACACATGGAGCGATAGATGTTAAATGAAATATCTTTGCAAAGAGAAAATTCATGAATATATGAAAAATAACTTAGAAATATGATATTATATATTATCGATCAAAAATTCATTAAGTGAAAATAAATTGTTATCCTTCTTAATGCAAAGAAAATATTTTTGATCATAGTTTTTGATCATATACAAAGTTGCATAATACTTGAGGATATATTGGGATAAGAGTCAATCAAAAGATAATTGATTATGCACTATATTTTCAACGATAATTCGCTCTTCTTTCTGAATAATCTTTATGAGTAAATTTGATATATTTTCTATATAAAGATGATAAATTGATTTATGGTGGACAATAAGTATTTCCCTCTATTATTCATTGACGAATAATCTTATATGATCTTATATCTTGTGATTTTCAATCCATACATATGCTTATTTTTATGAATTTTATTATATTAAATTTATAGAAATTAATCAATCAAATCCATATTTTTTTGCTCAATTTGTTACTTTTATGCAAAGCTTACAATTTGTCTTTGGACAAAAAATTGAAAAAACAATTCCTCTTTATTTATTGATATGTATTGCTTCTAGAAGCAAACTTCTAGTTTAATATGAATTCTAGTATAATAATTAATATTATTATTATATATATATGGTTAAATAATATATTGCATTTTTGAAATTAATAGATAAATTTGAAACATTGAATCGTCATATTATTATTATAATTTTTTCATCAAGAGAAGAAGAATCATCAAGATTTGAAATTAAATCATTGCTTTACAAAAACCATTTCATTATTTTCATTTATGAAACATGTAAGTAAAAAATAAAAGGATTATTTTTTTTAAATTTTTTAATTTTATATTCATAACTAATAAATTTTATTGTCTAAATATATGTATGTTCAATGTCTATCTGTATGCAATTTACATCATTGTTGTTTGACGCAGCATATTTAAATATGCGAAAACTGTTTTTACTATCTGGAATTGTAAATTACCTTATAATTCTTTTTGAAAATCAATATTATTTTTTTTATAAAAATGAAAAAAATTAAAAGAACGTACATTACCGAATGTATATATTGACATGGTGATTATCTTTCCGGCAGTTATTTTAACTTCCACACTAGATCGTGAAATAATCATAATTAAATTAAGTATATCTTTGTCAGGTAACTGATACCAATTCGTCATATAAACCATGTCTCCGACCTTTTTGCACTGTCAGTAATTCGGCGAATAATGAATTAATTATGTTTAAGATATCATATTATCGTATACTCATTACCTGTTCTTTTAATATTTCACCGATACAACATACCAATAAAATATTGAAAGACATAGATAAAGCTACCATAACATACATAGTCAAATTTTGAATATTGCGTTCAGACCATTCCTGAGAAAAAATAAAAATTTATTTTCAATTAAATATATCATATTTATATTATTTAGATAAATTATTCATTATTATTATTATTTTTTTAAATTTGTATTTTAATAAAATTTATTATAGTGCAAAAAGAAAGAGAAACCTGTACGAAACTATACTGA